AGCGGGGGGAAAAATTCCCCCCCGCCCCCGCCCCGAGAGCCCCCCGCGAGCACCCGCCCCCGTTGCTATCCCTATTTGAGTCCCACTTACATAGTGGACACTATGAGTTTCAAACTCACAGCAACCTCTTATTCCGGTTCTTCAATACTAAAAAAAATGCACACAATAACCCAAACCCCATAAGAAATTCTCACTCCCTTCTTCCTTCGGAAACCTCTCTATCTCTGCGGGCACCCGCTCCCATTGCCATCCCTATTTGAGTCCCACCTACATAGTGGACACTATGAGTTTCAAACTCACAGCAACCTCTTATTCCGGTTCTTCAATACTAAAAAAAAATGCACAGAATAACCCAAACCCCATAAGAAATTCTCACTCCCTTCTTCCTTCGGAAACCTCTGTACCTCTGCGAGAAATCCAGCACCTCCCTTTAATTTGTCTTTCTTGACTCGTAGCCTCTCTCTCTCCCTCCAGCCATACATGCAGCAGAGATTAGTAATTGGGTTGTCAAAAGAAATAGTTTTTTAAAGAACACTGTCTAATTCATTAACAAAAAAACCCAGATTCAATTGCCTAGATCATCAAGCTGTAGCTTCATTGCCCTCGGTCTCTCTACCCCATGCTGATGGTCCATTATTTCCGCCCCCCCCCCCCCAATTCAACTCAAGGCCATCCATTCATTCTGATTTTATACTTTTACATTCTCTAAGAGATGCCGGTTAATTCATATCTGTCCGAATTCTTCAAGCTTGTTTTCTTTTGACAATTCTTGCTTTTGTTCTTTGCACAGATCCCAGCAAAAAAGAAAAAAACAAGCGAGAGATTGAGTGGAAAATAAGTAGATCAATATAGATGAGCATCAGATTATTGTTGGTAGATATAGAGAAACTGGGAAAAAAAGGATTGATGCTGGGCCAAGTGAAAATTTCATGATGTTTGATACTTTAACCAGCCAAGTCGGTAGTCCTAATCCACCCAAACGATTCTTTGCCCAGGATTTTCCTTATTATTTTATCACAAGTCCAAAACCTCATCAGCCTTCGTAAGTGTCAATTATCATTTTCTAGAAACTAAAGTTTGACTAATAAATGGTCCGTGCCAATAGGGCACGGAATAAATCTCTTCCATGGGTATCCTCTCCCTAAAAAAAAACTAGGACAGCTGCATAAATCGGTCCTTGAAGTTGAACTTGATTCCACGGTTATTTTCTCCCTAAAAAAATCTAGGACTGATTTTCATGATCTTGCTCCTATTTTTAACTATCTGCAGGGAATAGATTTCATACGGGGCAAATTAATGAATTTAATTTTTGGGTTAGATGCACAAAACCTTGGCCCAAATTAATTTGATTGGATTTAAATCCAAACATAGGCCCATTAAGGCATTAAACAACAGGTACTTCTTCTTGACCCATATGGTTTTGAGGGCTCAATGAGTAGTTATTTATTATCAGCATGTTGTCTAATTAAATTGCAAATCTCCAGATGATAATAGAAAAGATTATGTTCTAACCACATCTAACAAGCCCACATCTAGTACGCCATTTATGCTGATAATCCAAGAAGAAACAAGCTTCTCGGCTAAATGTTGGGCCTTACGAGAGGGCTCAATTTTAGCAAGAGTGCAAGACAGGTGCATATATCTCTGCTTGAAATGTAACTTGTTCCAGGGTTCTCCTCTCCCTAAAAAATATCCAGGACTGATTTTCATGATATCGCTCCTACTTTTATCTAATTGCTGGGAGCTCCAAGCAAAATTCCACTAGGGTTTCTTTGGTGCGTAAACAGGGAAGCAAATTGAGTCGTCGACAGTTTAGCTAAGAAAGCAGTAGTGATGATGGTTTTATTAGATGCTCCCTCCGCCCCGCAAAGTTCGTCGCACTTCGAAAATAACGCTTTTTAAGCACAGTAACATCCACTTACCTGTAAACTCATTTGTTTTAAGCTTGCCTTTTACTGACTCATCCACAAAACAAATGGGTCCTATGAAAAAGCACTCATTTGTTTCAGAAAATTGGTTTCCTTACCGTAATCTTCTTCATCCAAGAAACAAATGGGTCAAAGCGGAGCCATAAAAAAGCAATGCTTTGTTTCAGCCACCAAAAAGTACGTCTAGTACATGCATTGTCACATCATTAGTGGAGGATAGAAATGAGACTTCACAACTTAAAATAATTTAAAATATTAAACATGACAAATATTTTGGGACAACCCAAAAAGAAAAGTATAACACTTTTAATGGGACGGAGGGAGTACTAGTCTTTCAGCCCTGACGCCATGCGTCAGATAGCCTGGATTGGTTTTTTTGCTGCTGTGGTATATTTCTTGTTAGTGTTGTGTGTATCTATGTGTGTGTGTGTTTTTTTTGACATGATTAATAGGTGATTGGTTTGGTTGTACAGTGTGAAGTATGACTGGGTATCGTTTTTTTTTTGGAGGGGGGTTTTAGCTATCACTTCTTCGTACAAGTGTACGATGCGTGTGAAGGTAATATGAATTTACCTAACCCAATGATATAATGTGCAAATGTATTAAGAAAAATATCATTTAAGTATATTATATAATGTGCACCGAAATTTGCTTAAACCTGTGATATAATGTAAACTTTCTAGACCAAAATTTAGCCTAGGAGAATGAGAGATTTGCATGTTTATGTTTAAAACTAAACCATAAATATCACATAGCAATAAAATGAGAACAGTTTATAACAGCTATAGTGAGCTTTTGTTTCAAAAATGCTCATTTTGCTCAGATAGGGAAAGTGATAGCTTGGTTAAAAATGTAAGTGGATATGCTCTAGGCATATATGATGATAAGAAATGGAACAATCCTTGGTGATCTAACACTTTTGTATAGCCTTTTAGTAGCCTTTGCTCAACAAATGTAAAGCTTTAAATCATTAATACAATTCCTACCGTTTCTGAATATATATATATATATATATATATATATATAACAGCTATAGTGGGCTAGCATATACTATATTAATCTTGTACACAAAACTGAAGCAAAAGTACATAGCAATTATAATAATATAGCCAACCAATTCAGTTAGGTTCAAAATAAACGCTAATGACTCCTGAGAATTTTTCTCAATCCATCCAGCGTAATTACACGAGCCTTTGGTGACGTTGAGTATGTAATCCAACGTAACTTTTGCATTCTCTCTGTATTCACAAACAAAAACATAAAATATCATCGACCAAAAAAAAATTATCAGGAAGCATAAGTATACATCTTATAACAAGATTGGCTGTGAATCAATCAGTGGACCACAGAACAAGATGGAGGAAGTTAAGAATATAGCAACTACTTAATGTCTCATAGTACAAGAATGTAGCAAACATGGACGGGGGGTGTCAAAGCAATTTCTTACGAGGGACGTGTAGACTACTCTGGCATTCACTACAGACGAAAAAAGCTTTGAAAGAGCAAAGCATGCACATTATCCTGTAGAATTGAAAGAGCTGTGAGATGAACAGACATTCAAGCTGAATGTAGTACCTTGTCAAACTAAGGCTGAAACTTGCCTCTGCAGAAATTAGATAGTGTCCAGGTGGCATTTCACAACAATGATAGTTTGCATGCTCATTTAGCTGAACCAGCAAGGGACCTAGAGCTCCATGACCAAGAACAAGATCACGGCATTTTGGGGAATCACCAACCACATTTGACGGAGCCCATATAGCCTAATGTAGTTAAAAGAAAATTAAGGAATAAGAGATAAATAACAATAAAATTCAATTATATCATGCAGCATTCAAAATCCAGAAAGCAATGCAAGGCATTGAACATGATTCCAAACTCTAGAAGAGGAAATTTCTTTATCATTCGTCAAAGATGTACCTGTTCACGGAATCATCACTGGGAGAACTAAGAAGCTGTGCGAATATGGGAACAGCATCATTGTCTATTACAACCTTAGTGTGCTTAGATGTCCCAGAAGCAATGTTTGTGAGAGCCCAAGCTGCCTCAAACTACAAATTTGCAAAAGATGGAAAAAGATATTTATACGTAACACCAAACAAATATAATCTTCATTTTGTAACGCAGAATGGGGAAGAATGAGCTTGAAGCCGAAGTTAAGGAAATCCCCCCTAATAAGATAATGAACAAAACGACGGACAACATCAGCTTGAATCACTTCCTGAATTAGCGGACTTTGTCGAGGTATAAGGATTAACAGCAATATTGGAACATAGGAATCAAAGATACAACAAAAAATGATGATAGCAATAGTCTAAAGAAGCAGTGAAAACCTATGGAAAGCAATTTCCTAAATTGAGGGGTTGCCTCAAGTTGTAGATCAGCCATCATCATCTGTCAAACACCAGAAATTATTGCTTGTAGATTTTCTAGCTGCAACCAAAACCCATAACCATTCCAAGCATTAGAGTTTCATGCTCAACATAATTTCCAATTCAAAATCAAAATGTGCAAAGTAACAAAAACTAAATTAAACGCATAGAAGCCAAAACTAAAAAAAAAAGAGGAAAATCTTCACACTCGTAATCAAAATATGCAATTAAAAGCTTTGAATACAACAAATTTGAACAAAAGAACTGTGACAACTAATTGCTGAAGTCAAACAAGCCCATCAAGTTTCAAAGTTTCCATCAAATTTTATTCATTTTAAAATTCAAACTATTGTCCGATGGTTCAATTATTTAAGCTTTCCGTACTCTCCTATTGCAACTATTTCTCTTGTATACTTTCAAGGAAAGAGCTGAAGTGTAAACCCTCGCTCTATTCAAACACAAGGAAACTTAAAACTAAATTGTGAAAATCCAGCCCATAAACAACACAATCGCAAATTTAAATTCGATCACAACCCTAGTTAAAGCCATTTGCAACAGCTTTAAAGGAACAAAATAGAAATTCTAATTTATTTAGACCTTTTTTTTCGAGAGAAGAAGTATAAGATTGAACAACAAATGCATTCTGCAAGCCTTCGCAGAGCTTCTTCCGCAAGCTTTCTTCACTGCGGTTCTTTCGAATCTTGAACATGTTGTCTCCTCCACTCCAGCGGCACTCTTCGGCATCCAACGCCACTTCAGAAAAATTAGTTCTCAAATTACATCCCCAGTATTTTTTTCTGGGTTGGGAAAATTAAATTTGAAAGTTATGGAAGATTCGTGAGAGCTCTGCAAAATGCATTTAAAAAAAGTGAGAATTAGAGTAGAGAATCTTATTTTTAACTTTTACCCTCTGATTTTTAGGACTGGCTCAATATGCCTATTTATCTTTGAACTCCAATCGAAGCCTTGTGGTTTCCAATGTCCCATGCAACTGTAAATCTCCCTCTAATGCCGATGGAAGGAGCTCTCCTCCTTCATCGCCCTCTTCTCCACTTTCTGTAATGACATATTTAGTCAACCCCAACTCAAGAAAAAATCCAACCATTCACATGAAATTGAAAACCCATGCAATGATAATACCCTGAACACTTAAAAGTCAAAAAATAATAAGAAAAAGAGGAAAAACAATTAAAAAAATGGAATTACGGAGATGGGATTAATTGGAAAAGTGTTTACCTTTTTGTTGTGCGTGCAGGAAAAATTGAGAGGGATTCTTCTGTAGATTTCTAGATAAGATTATGGAGGAAGACGCGTTGAAGGGAACAATTAAATAGGAAGATGATGAGTGAAAAAAACTGGTAGAGAAGGCCAAGAGAAGAACGAGAAAGGGCAATGGAGATTGTAGAGCTTTCAAGCAGTGGTGGTTCTATTGTTCCTCAAATCACGCCTGGTAAAGAAGGCCAAAAAAAGAAACAGAGGATACAAGACCGAGAAAATTGCTGACCGAGAATGAGAGGAACTTTTGAAGACATTTCTGAAGCTACCAAAGAAAACTAAGAAGAAGAATAGAAGCTAAGAAGAAGAAGAAAGCTAAGAGAAAAGAAAGGATATTGCTGATCGCCCAACCGCCCACTAACCAATATGAACTGCTGACTGTCAAAATCGAGAGCCACGCGGATAGAACGCCCCGCAAAGTTACAATCCAAGAAAGCCACGCGGACAGAATCAAATTCCAGCAGAGCCACTGCATCCATCAGCAAAAGACCAAAACGCCCCTCAAAGCCACAACAATCACGGGATAACCGGTCCATTTTTCACTGTTCACAAGCCATTCACGCTTTATATATGTACTAGGAGGGGTTCACCGCGCATCTCATGGTGCCCAGAAAATGCCCAGATTTACAAGTGAAAATATCATAAATCATATGTATTGCGTCTGAGTTAGTTGGTAAAAAAATGATTAAGCTTTGAAGTAAGCAATGTTGCAAGAAAAAACGTGAGTAAATAAAAGTTTGCATTCAACATGTTGTTGAGAAAAAGATCGAATAGGAAAAATCGAGGCGAGTAAAACTGAAGTTCATCAGGATGGTTTTGTTTCATGTAGAGACGTGGCAAAGTGTTGGGAGAAGTAAATGTGAGATCTAAAAAGATTAAACAATGAGCAAAGGTTATTTATTTTTTCTATTTTCCTGTGGAAGGTTGATAATTTTTGCTGTTTTTAAATTTACAATAAGAATTGACTCCGATGCTGTCCAATAGTTTGCATTTTTTTTATTCTATGGAAATGTCTCGCAATTGAAATTTATTGTTTCTTCACAGCGAATGGAAATGTCTTCTAAATGAAGTCATTGTCGGGAAAATGAATTAACCAGTCGATGTATGGAAAGGTGGAAATCTGTTTGTGGAGTTGAGTTTCATGGCAGAGTCAATAAAATTAATTGGTTAGTATGTGAAGAAAATTAGCGGCAAAGGCTGATGTTAGGTATTTGAAATGTAGTTGCCGCATGCATAAATTCATTGTAATGCAGTTATATTTAGTAGGAATGTATAGTGCGCTCGAAGGGGAAAAAAATTTCGACCATGTCTGATAAAAAGCTTCAAGAGAAAAGCGGATTTTGTTTACAGAGAAAACCATGCTGCCTAATCTAGGTACAAGCAGGACAATTAGAAAAAATTGTGAAGATGCAAGACCACGGAAAGATCCTCTCGACTCCACGATCATCAAATATTAAAACTGTGAAGGTAGTTGCTGATTCTGGAACAAACACAAGGATCTCATTGTGCTGCAACCGATGCTGGAGAACGAAGTTTCTCCAATTTTTTTTTAGCTTTTTCCCTTTTACACCAATCTCTGTAAGATTTTCTCCGGTCCTAATGAGAAGCGTTGGAGTTCTTTGTTCATTAACAAAGTGATCGACGAATCTTGGGATTTTCTAATAGAAATGGATGAAAGTTAAATTCGAGTACATAATGTATAGACTTTGTTTATAGCAACGCAGTAAGAGGAGGAGAAAGAAATAGGGTAAGGATTGATTACCAATGTGTTTGGAGTTGCTGCATGAAAGGTTTGGTAGAAGGAAACCGAGTCAGTGAGGTTTTGGGCTAAATTGGGCTTTATTGATGAAGCAACCGACTGCTGAAGTATCACAGAATTTGCACCATGAGAAGGTATTTAGCAGATAATAAATTAGGAAGAAATTTGGTACAAGCAACTGCATGATATAAAGTGAGGCATAAACTGATCTTGGGGATGGTCAGCACCAGAGAGTGATAAATTTGGCAATGGAACTATCCAAGATAGGTAAATTTGTTTTTGCAGCTCGGAAAAATGGATGACATCGAAGACGAGTTGCCGATATGGCGTAGAAGCAGCATATCATGTCTGGTTGTGATATTTTCATGGTAATATTCATCCCAACCTTCTTCAAATGAACGATCGCCGACGACAACAGGCCATTTATGAATTCCATGTCTGAGAATGATTGTATTGTGGCGGTGCTGATTAAGTAGTTGCTTGAATTCAGCTGGCAGAATCTATGTATTTAGAGATAAGAATAGGAAATGTTAAATGAACATATGTAAATGTGTTGCATATCGTTAACAGGCATTGTCCAGCACATGAATGAATGATTATACCTCGCCTCTGTGATTGTATTTAAGCAGAAAACAACAGGCCATTGAGCTGCTGTCTGTTAATCCATGGGTAGATAATCCTTCTGCCATTGATCTAATTAGAGAACTTAATCAGAAAAAAATCGGGAAAGATGTAACTATACGCAGGCAAAGAAAAGTAGCAAGCGGTAGGGATAACTCGGGGGAAAGGAGTGGAAAAGTTAACTTGTTGCAGTGAATTGCTTGGGATGTATACTCTATTTAAGTAGCAGGTATATATAAAGAATGGATGGCTAACAGTTTTTTTTTACAATCCCAAGGCTTTTATATTTAGTCTGGCTCCCATTTTTCACAAGCAAGCGGCTTAATGATCTGCCATATTTGTCTTTCTTAAACTTTTTTAAGGTTGACCAAAGGGAAAAGTTGTCTAGGCTTAAATTTATTGAAGGCTAAGCAACTACATATTTTACGGATAATAGATGCCCGAGCCTGAGCTGGTGAGAAGAGTAAGTTCAGGTCATAAAGCAGGTACGATATTTAATAAGAGAGTTATGTCTAGGGGAAGACTTGAATAGGTTCTGAGGAATGCATTCTGAAAAATTGATGCATAAGAAATATCACATCCACCAAGAGGGCAATTAATAAACTGAACATAGCAGAGGTTGAATTTAAAGGCCACTGCAACAAGTACATATCAGTTGTAAAGCACCAATCTAGATACATAGTAGTTGCTGATTGTAGCTTAGTAGCAAAGACAAGAGCCGGTAGAACAAAAAGAAGTTTAAGGGGTATCCATGGACAAAAACACATCTTTCGTTAGCACCTAAATAAGCCTTGTAAGTTTGCACAAAAAACTTTGGGAAAAATAGAGGACAGCAGGTTAGGCTTAGCATCTAAAGATCAGGTGGATGCAAAAGGCCACAGCAACAACCTAGTTCAGTTTTTGCTTCTTGCTAGAGCTGCACTCTGCATTTTCATCCTCATCTGGTTCAATGTTTTGTGGTTCATCAAACCAATTAGAAAGTCGAACACAAATCTTGAACGAGCACTATTTTCTCCTGCGATCATAAATTTGTGACATGTCATGATATGCATAAATTTAGCAGACAAATGTAGAAAAGAAATCAGGTATTTGGTCCTTTACCTGGTGTTCCCAACTGTATGGTGTCAGATTCTTTGGTAGGAAAAGGAGAGCCATCTTTTGGTTGCATTGCAAACTGGCCAGAATCAGTAGCGTCATCAATTTCAGAGTAGTATATAATCGTGTAATGCTGTCTTGCATCGGCCAGCTGTGTTTGCACAGGTTTGATGTGTAGCAGAAAGGTTTTTTATTTGAGCTCATTGTGGACAAACTCTAGTGGCAGCTCAACATTTTGTCAAGAAAACAAAGAACAAGAGTAAAATTGTATAATATCTTTAGTATTAAGACTTACGAGGTAAGAACCTCATTAAAATGCTGCATTACTTCCAGCGCATTAAATGCCAATAGCTTCTTTGCCAATTCGCCAAACAATGAAGCTGGTATCACACCAGTGCTATCAATTAAATCAACATCAAAGCGGCATCTGAAAAGGGGCACACAGTATGCAGGGAGGCATTTATTGACTCGATCAGTATTAGATAACAGTGAATAGAAAGCAATATAGGAAACGTATATTATTTAGTACCTAGGAACTGTAGGATGCTTCTCTTTGCATGAGTTACACGTAAACACAACTTCATTGCCTGCTGCTGTAGCTCGGCAACAGTTTTTACAGCTCATGTACCAATATTTTTGGAAGATGTGTTCGAAAGAGACCTGCGCCTTCACCCATATAGTCTAAAAGACCAGCAAGCATGAGTCTAAAAAAATTGTTCATACATGAGGAAAAGTACGAAAGGAGGTAAACATTTGCTAGTTACAGACCTTTTGTGACGAAGTTATGTTACAAATCCAAGTTATTTTCTGGTCTGATTTCAATGACAGCTGTGGATTATATTTAATATAGGCATTTTTTTCAACAATCTCTTTAATCGGGTCAGTGTTCCTCAAGGCCCTGGGCCATAGGAGACATTAAAAATGTTAGAACTGGAAGGCAGGACAGCATTGCGATCTAAACTATGTACAGAATGATGACTGTAAATATATTGTACCAGTTCTTGAGTTCTCTTGCTTCTTGTATAGGCGGATCAATAAGAATCGCTGAATCAAACCAAGCACCAAGTGCGACTCCTATATATTGAAAAAAAATGGAGAAAGATTTACAGGCGGTGCAGGCGACTATATGAGGATAAACGTAAATAATGGAAAAAATAAATGTTGGGAGCAAACCATTATAGTTATTCACTTTGACTCTGCGAGCAATGATCACAGGATAGCTGTGAAGCTTAGATAGCATGTCCTCTCCCTCATTAGCTAGAAAGCTATCCCATAGAGACAATAGGACCGTCTGTGATCTGTAGTTGAGATTAAAACTAAGAGTCACAGACTGGGAAAATGGTTGTAGAGAAAGAGTAGGAGGTGTAGCGTGAAGTTTTGGCTAAGCTGAAGTTTAAAGGCCTTACTCTTCATTAAGCAGAACAAACTTTTGAACATCCGATTGCCTTGAGTTTTTAGTAACTGTTTTCCTCTCAAGTGCACTAATCACGACTCCCAACACGTCTATGAATAACATAGCGAAGTTGATTATAAAAAAGTTGGCTGAGATGTAAACATATTAAGAGTAAAGCATTGAAGGACTCACCCACTGATTTGGTTTTGTCATCCATATACTGAACTAAATCAGTAAACTTTGAATAGCAGAATTTCACAGGCATGACTTCATCATCATCAGGAATTTTGTCAATGACAGTCCTGCTACTGATCACCCATTGAACTGTAAGGTCAGATGTCTGGAACTTTGATGGTATAGGTCTGACTTCAGCATTGGAGATTCTATACTTTTTATAAATCTGCAAGATCTGGCTCATTCTAGGAATGTCATCATTGAAGATGATTCCTTCGACTCTCGATCCCTATTTAAAGCGGCGAAAGAAACACAGGATTAAGAAAGCAAATGAACAGCCTACTTAAACTATTACTTTTAAAACAGAGCATCAGTTCTGACTAACTTCTGAATCATAGAAAACAAACTTTTGCTTTCTTGTTGGTGTTCCCATTGAGCTTGTAATCTGCTGCCTTTCTTGAACAGTGATGTCGCAGCTCCAATTTCTCATATGAGGCACAATATCTCGCATTGGCAGCAAGTTAGCCATCCTATAAACACATAAGTTGCTGCGTAAGTGAAAGGAATAAAATATCCAAGAACACAGCATCTAGGAATTAAAAAGCTGAATAACACCTTGTTGTAGCATAATTCCAGTAGAAAATGATCTATTCCTGCGTTAATCTAAAAATTTCATGAAAGACAACATTCCGAGTCTTGCAATCTACTTTTGTGCCTTCAAATGTTCCAGGAACAAGAAGAATTCTGACTTTAGCGGCAGTCCTAGCTCTGGACAGAGCAACATACAACTGTCCATGAGAAAAAACTGGTTCTCGTAGATAAATTCCGACGTAGTCAAGGGTTTGACCCTGCGATTTATTGATGGTCAAGGCGAAGCAAAGGCGGACAGGAAACTATGTTCGTATGAATGGAATCCCATTTTTGTCGTTGTCAGGCGACCGAAAAGGTATTCTTGGAATAAAAACTGTTTTTCCTCGGTGATGGCCAAAAACAATCTCGGCAGAAATTGTGTGCTGTCCAAGATCTCTGCATATCAACCTTGTTCCATTGCACAGACCTTCAGTTGGGTTTAAATTTCTTAGAAGCATTAGTGGACAGTTTTTCTTCAACAGCAACTTATGAGGAGGGAGACCTTTAGGATTTTGCGAATTGAGGAAGTCCTCATAATCACTTTGGTGCCGCTGATCAACAGTCTTGTCTGAGCTAATATAAGTCTGAAGGTTTCCAGGAAACCTCTTAATCATCATTTCATTGAGCTCGTCGACAGAGCTATTTTTAGGAGCAAGGATGCACATATTTATCAGGTTATAAGGATCGTGGGTATAGAGGTTCAGATCTGGAAAAACACTTTCTATTAACCTGTATATAAGAAGATTCATTAATAATGGTAGTAGAAGGAATAACTATAAAAATGGTTGAATTTGATTACATGTGGCTAGCTAACCTGTTCAAAGACACCTCTTTATCTACATAAGGAATAACTATATCTGGGGATAAAGTTATCTCTCCCTGATCGTCGACAGGTTCTCTCCCCTCTCCCACCCTTAAAAGGAATTGAGAAAAGCCTGGATCAAACATAGCTCGCATGTTTTCTGTGAGCCTGATTTTGTGTAGTTGAGACCACAGGAGAGAAACGGGGAAGGTCGATTCTATGAGAACTTCCTTAGTTGCTTGCTCAATGATTGGCAGAGTTTGCCGGAAATCGCCGCCGAAAACAATTACCTTTCCTCCAAAAGGCAAATCTGAATCCATTAAATCTTTTAGCAATTCATCAAATGCTTCAATTGTTTCCCGCTTATACATGGAAGCTTCATCCCACAAAATAAGCGTAGATTCAGAAAGGAGTTTTGAAGCTGAGCTTTGTTTACTAAGTTGACAAGTCTTAGTTTTCGAGAAATCAAGCGGTATCTTGAATCTCGAGTGAGCTGTCCTTCCTCCAGGAAGGATTGATGCTGCAATTCCAAATGTTGCCACTGCAATTGCAACATGGTTCTGTGAGCGCAAGGTGGCGAGGAGTGACCGATACAAAAAAGTTTTACCGGTCCCGCCGGGGCCATCAACGAAAAAAGCTTGTCCTTGTAAGGAAAAACATGCTTTCAGGATCAGATCATAGGCATGTTTTTGCTCAGGGTTCAACTTGTGAGACAACAACAGATCCTCAGGGTCTACGGTTAAGCTTTTTTCACTCTCAATCTCTTTTGTTAGCTTTTCAGCGTAACTGGAGGTAAATTCATCGGAGACAAAGTGAAATTCAGCAAGGCTTTTGCCCATTTATTCGAGCGAACTGTTTATATCCTGCAGGACCTTTCTTTTAATTTCAAGAGAAAAAAGTCCATGGAACTGCTACCGGTGATGGTAGTCGGCAGAAAGGTCAAGTTCAAAGTTCTCCCAAAGCAACCTAGGATTCGTTGTAGAACAGTACACAAGGAGAGTAGCAAACAATAGACGCAATGAGGACGGCATTTGAAACGCCACTGCTTGCTGAAGCGTGTCCTCTATGTACGCATCAGACTGCAGAAGGCCGAGAGCTAAAGCGGACTCTCTAAACGAAGCTAATCTCTGACAGACAAAAGGGCTTCAAAAGACGTTGGTCCAGCAATGTGAGTTAAAAGCAACCTCAAATAATACCTCTCTCCTTCTTTCGGACTAACAGTCACCATCCGGCCAATGACTTTTCTACGCTTTCGTTCAGTCCACTCTTTATATTTAGGAGACCAGACAAAATGTTCAGGGAAATCTCTATAGAAGCATTTCAGGGTCTGTGCTCTTTGATTTATTCTATTCATGTGGAAAAACTGAGTTAACATTGTTTTAGAAAAATCAACTTTGCTCAGTAATTGCAACAGGTCAGAATTCTTGTCGAAGGAAACAAATTGCTGGTCTGGAAGGTGAACTTGAAGAGTGTAAACTGCTGGAGTCATTTCATTGAGTTTGAATTCATAAATGCACCAAAAAGCTTCTGGAGGTGAAACCCATCTACCTTTCTGAAAGTCTCTTATTGCATCAACATCATTGACTGATTCACAAGAAATAATCTTAAAGCTCACCAGATCATGTTCTTTGAAAACATACTTATACAAGTACTTCACGAGCTTAAGAGCTGAACAGATTTCCACATTGATGTGGCAATCAAATAAAGCAAGTAGGTAAGGGTTACAAGGCACAACCCACCTATTGTCAAGAGTAAATCTGCGAACTCTGATACTCTTGCTGTCATCCCTTCTTCTGTAATATGGATAAGTATCCTCACCATGGGTCGTTTGGGCACAAAAGTTCTTTGGATAGCGATTTTTGCAGGTTCCATCTCTCATGCAAGGGCAAGATTTATCCATGGTCTTTGGATCATATGTTTGATAACAAGAGAATACAAGTGAGGATAGCGATCTTTGTCGGGCAGCTCAGCACAAACTACTTTGTCATATGACTCCGGGTTAAGTAGCTTATGACCAGGTTTTAAGATCAATAATAAATGGGCATGAGGAAATCCCCGCTTCTGAAACTCAATCACATAAACACACGCTACAACTTCGCCAAAGATTTTCTTCGCCAAAGATTTGCTTATTCAGGATCTCTGCTTTAAGCATTTCAAACTTGGCTCTAAAAACTCTAGCTAGAAGGTCTGCCAATCTTGAGGTTTTTCATGGTATTTCAAGTTCTCTTGAATCTCCTTCCACGCTGGATTACATGTCATTGTAATGAAAATGTCCGGCTTCCCGTACTTTTGGACCAACGCCATCGCATCAAGGTAGCGACGACGCATATCCCTCGACCCACCTATAAAGGAACCTGGCAAGATAACCTTACGACCAACCTTAGAACCAGCAGTTTGGCCAATAGAAACACTATCAAGAACTTCTTGAAGAATTTCGGAGCGTATTTTGTTCTGCCGATGTCTATGGAAATCAAGCCTAGATGTTTCTATCTTCACATAACCATCAACCGAAAATTGCTGTAGCAATCTAAGGGTGTGTAATAACATTGACTCATCATCGTCCCTTATTTGAAACCTATAACAGTAGTACTCCCTAACTGATACAGTATCACCCTCTGTTTTGCCTCGATCAGCAGCTAAAAAGATGGGATTAGATGATATAATGCAATGGTTGGATTAAGTAGCTTATAACAAGGGATAAATGTACTTGCCTCTCTATTCTAAATCAATTAACTCTGATGAGGAGTTAACTGAAGCTGGATCAAGGGTAATATCGCCCTCACAGGAGTCCCCTCCTCTTTTCCTTTTGTGAAGTCTTTTAATTCCATGGTGCCAGCCACACTCATCACGGGGGAAAAGGAGAGAGTACTGTAAAGGGTCATAACAGTCATAATAATGCTGGATTCTATGGCTACCAGCTGAGCGAGGATAGACCTGAATATGAGCGCGTCTATTGGATGACTGATCTTCACTTTCAGTCCATATAGCTCCTACTTGCGAGGCAGAGGGAAGATTATACACGCGTTGGTCAAGTGAAGGATAACAATTAAGGACAATGTTCAGGTTGTCAATGTTCGAAACATCCCTAAGGCTTTTAAAGAAGCGAGTATAAGGATTATCAGAAAGAACGTGCATAAGCAATCTTAAAGTGTTTTCGTGCAGTTTATCAGAGTTACCAAGCCTTTTTGCTAATTCTTCATCAGTGTCAAAGAAATATAATTGGATGCCAGATGGTTTATCGCCCAAGTGAACAAGGCCATCAAGGAAGTGATAGACCTGGCCTTGAACACGGAAGGTATAAACACCTTTTGTGTTCTTTGTAAGCTCAGAGTCATACTTCGCAGCAAAGGTTGTAAAGCCAAGGTTGTTGTTATAAGTACGTACATTGTTTCTGAAATGAGCACTCTCTTCATCGTTGCCAATGAACAAACGTTTCAGATCATAAGGCATTGGAGGAGCGACGATAGAGATTTCTCCTCCCGAGCAGCAAAAGGTAGGAGGCTCCAAATGGAACCTCTTCGCTCCACAATGCTGACAATCAGGAGCATCTGGTAGCGCCAGAGATGCGAAAGAAATATTGGCAAGACGAGATAGATATGAAGCTGAAGGTGCTCGTTCTATCGTTGCAGTTTTATTTTGCATACGAGTGTCTCTATTAGCATTGGATGGATATATAGGTAAATCAGAATATAAGGTAGCCAATGGCTAAGGGAGATTAGAAACTGACGCCAACCTGATTTCTGGTTGGCTACAGTTTCAGAAGTATTGCGTTTCTTGGTACGAGGTCGACTAAAAGATGGAGCAGCAGAAGGATTTACTTCGCTGCCTCCCATCTCCAAATGACCAGCTGCTGGTTCACACCTGACGACATCCTTTCCAGGAATGCCTGCGGATTGCAGGACTGAGTAAGCTATAAAGAATAGTCCAAAGTCCCTTAAAGGGACACGGTGGAGAAAGGGCAAAGGTTCTCAGAAACAAGCTATAAAGATGAGTATCTATTATTTATAGCCTGGTCGAAGAAGCTCAGCAATGATTCAAAGACAATGAATATCCCAAGGTAAGGCAGTACCTGTGTAAGGAGGGGGTAAAACAGAATCCGAAAGCATAGCAGGGAAAGAATTACTTTTACAAGCAAGATGTCTCTGAACCGGTTGTTCAGAGTTGATAAGAGTTGAATTTAAGGAAAATAAGTCCAGCATAATTTCAGAATGTTCATTGTTCATCAAGTGTTCATTTTCAGGGGAAATGGGTAGTATGTTCCTAGGGCCTCCTTCACTTGATCCAGCACTGACTTGGTAATCAGTAGAATGAATGGGGATTTTTTTTGGGTCTGCACCATTAGACGACCTCTGATATTTTACTGGCGCAAGGCTATTACGGAATGGAAGCTCTGCAGTTATGAACAGAGGCAGATGTGTTTTGAGAGGTACAAGGGAAGTAATGTCAGCCAATAGAGATGAATAAGGTTAAACGGCGCCTTAGAGGGGGAGCTAAATGGCCCTAGGGATCGGGTGATGAGAAATGTTGATATACCTGTAGTAGGAGGCGTCTTATGGATAGGAATTGTTCTGTTAAAGGAGGAAGAAGAAGAACAACCAAAGGGACCAGGTAGTTGTTCAGACATGAATTCTAATCCTTCACCAACCGCAAGGGCATTATCAGCGGGTAACACAACATCTGTGTTTCCCAACGATTGAGAGTGAACAGGCGTTTGATCTACACCATGGCACGGCATACAACGGGCATTTGGAAACGACACACCAGATTCCACATAGCCTAAAGGAACCTTGCGAACACGAACAGGTAAAGTTTTTTCAGCTCTCTTTGCTGCTCTCGCTTCTCTCCGAGAGCACAGGAGTTTGGCTTTCTTTGTAGGCGACATTTCTGCATATTTTTTGCGCCGCATAGCATTTCTATCCATCTGATTACTACATACCTTAGTAGTTGAAAGAAAAGCTAACACACACCCCTAATGCACTACTATAGTACTGCGAAAATAAGCACAAAGGAGGACTAAGCTCAAGTAAACAGTCTAGCATAAAGGAATGGCACAACAAAGGCACATGCTAAATGGCTGTCATCCAAGGGGGGGGGAAAACAGAAGAAAGAAAAGCTAAAGAAAAGTTTGTATACAGCACCACTTAGCTGAGCATTCAATCCATTTGATTACTACATACTTTAGTAGGTGAAAGAAAGGCTAACACACACCTTTAATGCACTATTATAGGGCCGACAAAATAAGCACAACAGGGGCCAAAGTTCAGGAGAAAAGAGGCTAACATAAAAAAATACCATAACAAAGGTATGCATTAAATACCTACTATCAAAGGAGAAAAAAGACAGAGGAAATTAAAGCTAAAGCAAAGTCCTTATACAGCACCACTGAACTGAGCATTGCTTCGATCTGATTACTACATACCTTAGAAGTTGAAAGAAAGGCTAAAGTATTAGTGTAATGTACTACCATATAGCCGACGAAATAAGCACAAAGGAGGCTAAAGTTGGAGCAAGAAAGGCTAACATAAAGAAATGATATAACAAAGGCACGTGACAAACGTCTCTTATCGGGGGGTGGGGGGAATCAGAGCAAACAAAAGGGAAAGCAAAGTTCTTAGGCAGTTACATGAAACCAAGCGGATAAGAATAAAGAAGGCAAATGGTTGACAAAATATCTGTAATACTTAAAAATTGACGTAGCAGAAGGCATGGAGCAAATAGTTAGTGGGCAGAAGCAAGCTAATAGGCAAGGAAAAAAAGCTGAACATATGTAGGAGAGAGAACAAGGAATGTCACCTTAACCTTAGATAGACACAACAAGCCTTGTTCAGCGAACAGTAGAACAGCAGAAAAGAGGGCAAAACCTGTTCCTGCAGCAGACAAAACAACGAGGGGTGGAAAAAGATTAAGAAGATACAAGGACAAAGGGTAAATGCGCTATAATACGCAGCAGAGCTCAAAAGGGAAAAAGGTATGAGAGAATTAATGAGAAATGGGTAGAAAGCATAAAACAGAAGGTGGGGAAAGGTAACCTGAACGAGCTAAGCACGGCAGAACAGAAGCTACAAAAAAAAAAAGAGGCGTGAGCACCATTGACAGGAGGGAAACGAAAGGCGCATGTAAAAAAACGTGGGCAGGAAATCAAAGTTAAGCAAAGCATCAGGAGCAGCAAAATGAGCTGCAAAGCAAAGCAAGCAGAAAATGCAACAGCAACAGCAGACCAGGGCATAAAATTTAGGGGAGAAAATCAAATAAACACGACAATGAAGACAACAAACTCACCAGGAGGCAAAATCTAACAATAACAAGGGAAGTAAGTTTGACACAAGAAGCCAGTAAGACAGCAGCTCCGACAAAGAAAATAAGGAAATGGAAAGAAACGAGCTAATAACGCAGCACATACAAGCAAACAGATGAAGGGCAAGAAAAGAACAATCAGCATGAGGCACACTTATCGCGGACCATGATGATGCCTCGGGGAAAGACGGCACCAGTAGCATAGAAACCTCTGCAAACATCGGAGGAACAAAGAGGCTTCAGTCCTTTCAATCAAAGGAAAGAGCCTTGGGTCTGTCCTCGGGAAGAGAAGGCAGAGAGCGTTCTCCTCTCGGGCAAACGGAGAGAGAAAGAGTTTTCAGTGCTCTCAATCAAAGAGGAGTAAAAAAGGCCGTTTTTGCTATCTCTCTTGAGCAGAGGCGAAAGTTCTTCTCAACAAAGGACAAAGGGAAGCAAGAAGCTCAGAAACAGAAAACGCTGCATTTGTTTTTTTAAAAAGGGTACAATCGTAAAAGCATGCAAACCCACATTGAGCCCATCACCCAACACTTGTCATCAATCAAACCATCACCAACCGCCATAAGCTTAGTCAGCTGGTCAGGTGGTGCTCATTTCCTTCTCTCGGACAAAAGCACCAATTCTACTTCTCGGACAAAAGCGGACAAAAGCAAGAAAGAATTATACTTCTCCTCCCAGCGAACGAAGGTACGCGAGGCCCACGTGATTGACGACCAAACTCCAGCCAATAAAATACATCCACGTTAGCACAGCAACCACCGAACCCATTCGCGCTTTTACTATATAGGTTGATAAGATAAGATAAGAAGATTAAGGGAGCAGCGTTGCTGCGATCGGATGCCATACCCACGGTGTTATTAGTTTTTATTCATGTCCCTCTTTTGTAAAACACTACTTCTGGATGATTCAAAAGGATTAGCCCTTCCTCAAATGACTATAAACTCCTACCTTTGATTTGTAGTTTTCATGATTCATTGTGTGATATGATAATTACATAATAATAGTCAAGAAGGCCTTGATCTAATGGTTAACATTAGAGTTACAAGATTTAAAGGCTCTAGGTTCTAATTTCCATTCTCCCTTTTGGTTTTTTAAATCCTACCCTTCCTCTGTTAGAAGAAAAATTATATAATAACTTGAATTCGCAAAGTATTACCCAACATATATACTCATATCAGAAGAACAAATTCTCTTAATTGGATATGTTGATCGATTTCTTTTTATTGATGCTAATTTCATTCACTCATGCTTCAAAGACTTGAAAAGAAATTAAATCAAACCTTTGTCTGAGTTCATATTCTGTCAATCTTTCTTTTGTTTGGAACATAATATTTACATAGTCAAAGTGCAAAACTTTGAATTGAAAGCAATTAATCACATAAATTAAACTATTCAACTACAATTGATTAATCAATTCTTCAAAATCAAAATGACAAACTAAAATATATAATTAAGTAAAAATAGGAGAAAAAATATTTATACAAATAATGCTAGCATAAGGAAAAAAAAAGGTAGTGCCATACTGCCATGTCCATATGGAGAAGAAAATAGACCAAAGAAAGGAAGAGAATATACAAGGAATGGATGATTAGTGATGATCTTACTCAATAAAGGACTAGGATACTTGATCATTAGTTTTAGGGGTGAAGTATTGATAAAATCATATCAAGTGAGCAAAGTGTACCTAACCATTTTTCTAGGGGAGCTTAGTCTACTTAAGCCTTGTCTATGTCAAGGTTGAGATGATAGACTTGTTTAGTCGTCTGATGTACCACGAAAAGTAAAAGGAAAATGTAGAGGGACAAAAAGGGGTGTATGCCTCACTCTTCAAAGGTTTTCAAGCGCACAAGCAAACGCAACATGTTGATAATATCTAGACCAACAATATATTAAAAAAATGGAAAAATCTTTCAAAATGTTTCTTACATTTTGTAAAATAATTTTTTTATTCCTTGCATTTAAAAGTGTAGTTTTACGTCACTTACAAATTCACATTGGTCAAATTTGGTCTCTACATAAGTTTCTGACAAATGTTTGCTCGGAATTCACTACGTGCCTTGTACGTGATCATTTTTTAGGAGCAAAATTTTTAAATCACATTTCACATAATTCGATTCATAGTCCGTCATATTTCACAAAATAATTTTTTTTTGTCTCTCATATTTCATAAAATGACTTTTTTCATTCCTCATTGATCATGTGTACGAATAGTTTTTTCCTTGTTTTTGAAAATCGATGTATATGTATATTTGATTTCACTTGAACAGCATGAATACCATGTAAAGTGAAATCAAATAGAGATATATTATATGCTAATCTATTTGCTTTCATCTGAATAGTACAAAATAGCATGTAATGTATCTCTATTTGATTTCACCTTCAGGTGAAATCAAATAAAGATACATTACATGTTACTTATATTGTTTAGACGAAATCAAATAGACATATACATGAGTTTAAAACAAAAGCTATTCATACACATGATTAATGAGGAATAAAAAAATTCATTTTGTGAAATGTGAGGGATGAAAAAATTTATTTTATGAAATATGAGGGACTATAGATTGGATTATGTGAAATTTGATTTAGTAATTTTACTGCTAAAAAATATCGCATGCAAAACACATGGTGGATTTCGAACAAAAACTAGTCAGAAATTTAGGTAGGGATCAAATTTGACCAATGATATAAAATTATACTTTTAAAAGTAACGGACTAAAAAATTATTTTACAAAATATGAAAAACGTTTTGAAATATTTTTCAAAAAAAAAAATTAAAACAAGAACAAATGAATCAAGTGTAAGAATGTAAACTACACAGGAAAACACTTTTTATGTAACATGCTGAACAAATCTGGGCCGTGGAGCTAGATTAGAAGATAACAAAATGAAACAGAATGAGCATACAAAGAATATTTCAAGATAGGGAATGTTGAATAATGTGCTGAATCAATTAGCTTGATTAATGAGGTAGTTGGAATGCTCTCTAGATAATTGGAATGCTCTCTAGAATGATGGAAATTAAGAGAGTTTTTGGGGTGGTTGGAACACTTCCCTATGTATCTAGAAAGATCATTTACAAGTATAAATAGACCTTGTAAGCTCCAAACCATTATAAGTGAGAGTGAAAGAAATAAAAGGAAGAAACAATTGAAGCTACTCCTGTCTCCAATTTTTCTTCTCAATTCTTGGCCTAATATCCAACAAATTGGTATCAGAGCTAAGGTTTCATTGCCTTAGTTCATACCCCAAAACTAGAAAAATTTGAGAGATTTCCAACTACAAGATGGCCAATCATACTAGTGATGGTCTTCCAATTCCCATATTCTCCGGTGAGCACTATGATAATTGGGTCGTAAAAATGAGAACAATTTTTAGATCACAAGATTTGTGGGAATATGTAGAGAATGGCTATAGAGAACCAGAAAGTGAGAAAAGGTCTCACCAATCAAGAATTAAAGGCACATAAAGAACATATGAAGAAGGATGCAAAGGCTCTTTCACACATCTAGCAAGGTGTGAGTCCATATATTTTTTCAAGAATTATGGGAGCTGATCATGCCAAGGAAGCTTGGGAGATTCTACAAAAGG